ATCGGTAGTCTCCACTGAGGTACGTCATGTAAAAAGGAACGTGCTGCCCGTCGAAAGTGATAACTGCAGCTGTGGAAGATCCCAGCATGCGCGCGCCAAGGACGTGGTATCTTGGGTCTACGCGAAGTCCTGCAACAATCTCTGTGGGGCTTGTTCCTGGTTCGAGGCCGTAGATCACTCCGCGGCACACATCATCGGGGTGTCGAATGTGCGGATTCACTTGATATATTACTCCACCGAGCTGTACAGCATTTATACTTTGCAGTTTGGAAGCTCGTTCAGTACTTGCTGTGCTTGCGATGATCACATTCTCTACTTTTTGCACCTGCACTCGCACATGGTCATAGAAGTCCTGCTGGGCCAAGCCACTGGATCTTCCGATGGCATGTGTAAACTCGATGAGTGTTCGTTTTGAAAGATCTAGTCCTGGTTGCGGGCGGAATACAATTTTGAAGTCATCAGTAGGGAATGGCCGCATCCTAGTGCTGCGTTGACGTTGCGGTTGAGATTCGGCGTCCGGCTTCACAGGTTGCGTAGCTCGTTTTTCGGCTGACTTTTCTTCTTTGGCTGACCTGCCTTTACGGCCAGCTTGAAGCCACTCAATGTGGGCTTTGCCTGTCGTTTTGCCACTATTTTCATCAAACGTCCATTGTGATGCCGTTCTTGAGTTACCCTCCGTGTTGTCTACTTGCATCGTACTCGAGTTTTCTTGACGTGGGTTAGACGTCTGCGTTTCCATAAGAGCACTAGCTCTTTACCTCAGACGCTGCGTCTCTGTGTTGCGCAAGCAGCGTGCTTGTGCACCTACGAGACGCTGGCGTCCAACTCGTTTCGCAGGCCTGTCGCCACTCTGAATTCCTTGGCGCGTCCCAGCGAGCAGGCACAATATGTTTAGCGTTCAATATCTAGTAAAAAAGTACACTCACTGCGATGAGTCTGGTGTCAAACGATGCCTTGCAACGTGAAGAATCCCAGGTCACTAAACGCGAGCAGTTTCCAGGCAAGGTTGCACAGAAAATAGCAAAAAGAGCAGGAGCCCATGTGAGGTGCGACTACACACCTCAGCCCCCCAAGTTCCGGGACTGAATAGACTGAAACTAGCAAACAATGATGGCGCTCTTCAATGTTGGAGTTGAGTGACAAGGTGAAATTATAGTGTTACGCAGGTCTAGGTTCCAGTGTCGACTAGAGGATGTTACTAGCCATAGAAGAGGTTGAAGCCATAGAAGAGGTTGAAGTGTAACCAATTGTGCCGCACTTGCCTTAGGGAGTCTACAACTGCCACTCTACGCGTATCATTTTGGTGGAGGTGCTTGGTATACTTTATGGAAGTCGGACCTGGATTTCCACAGTGAATGTCACACCAGTTCCACTGCTATGGCTACCGGCAGTGTTGTGACCACTCAGTGACCAGTGCAATATGTCATGAATCCGCTACTTGACCAATGAATCTTCACCAGCACTGGTAAAGTTGACGTCCATCAGTGGTTGTCGATGTACCAGCGCGTCCCCAACAGTTAGGTGGGATCCAAGGCTTAAGCTGGTGAACATGATATTGTTATGAATAAGACGCGACGTCGTATCGACGAGGCTGTGCATGAGATGTACTCAAAACCAGCAGTAATAGCGTGACCGGCTCACCAGCGAACGAGCAGAGATTACCCTTCGTCCTCTTCGTCAGGCACGCACGCGCATCGTCCCACAAAATGTCAACATGCATGTAGCATAATCCCTTGTGGAAGAAGCGCCGTCTCGGCACATCTAGATGTCAACGTCAGCGGGAGAGTGGTAAGGCTTCAAGCATGCCACATGTATGATATCGGTGGTCTGTGAGGCAGATGAAGGCGATGGGGCAGCAGGGGCAATTTTGTAGGTCACAGGAGTAATTTCACGAAGGACTCGATATGGACCTGTGTAGCGGGAAAGAAGTTTTTCCGACAAGCCGACTTGATGGGTCGGGGACCAGAGCAGCACCAATGAACCGGGTAGGAAGTGCATGTCACGGTGCCGTTGATCGTACAAATGACGCTGGTTCTCTTGAGAGGCCAGAAAGCGAGTGCGGGCGATTTCGCGTGCGTGGGCAGCCCGAGTGATAGCGTCAAGGGCATATTCGCTGGTCAGTGTCACGGTAGACGGAATGACTGTATCTAGGGTAATGTAGGTTCTCGGCCGAACAACAGTAAAATGGGGAGTAAGCGGTAGTGTCATGGTGAGAAGAATTGTAGGCAAATGTGACGTACGGCAACGCGAGATCCCAGTCGGTGTGGTAAGTAGAAACATACTTAGCGAGCATGTCTGTAAGAGTTCGATTTAGACGCTCCGTGAGTCCATTGGTTTGCGGGTGGTATGACGTAGTCAGCTTGTGTCTCATTTGACAGGGCTGCAATATGTCGGCTATGACCTTCGACAAAAAGGTGCGGCCACGGTCTGTAAGCAGCTGCCGTGGGGCTTCGTGTTGCAAAATCACGTGCTTCAGGAGGAAGCCGGTGACATCTAAGGCACAGCTTGTTGGAAGAGCCAGTAGTCAACGGAGCCAGTAGTCAACCCAGGTTATGCGGAGAATGTACCGGGATCACGCGGGTAGGGCTTCCTTAGGTATGTAGTGACTGGAGCTACAGATGGGGACGCTGACGGGTTGTTGTCATTGGTAGCCATAGCCGGAGACTGAATGGTGCAGCCACTGCGAAGCTTCGTGGTGAGGACGGGGAACGTTCCACCTCCACCAAATTGGTTACGGATAAGACGCGACGAGGCTGTGGCGACGAGGCAAGGCGTATCGATGCGAGACGAGGCGTATCGACGAGGCTGTGGATGAGATGTACTTAAAACCAGCAGTAATAGCGTGACCGGTTCACCAGCGAATGAGCGGAGACCACCCTTCGTCCTCTTCGTCAGGCACACACGCGCATCGTCCCACAAAATGTCACATGCAACATGCATGTAGCAATGTTATACCTGGGCCGAACTCACATGAACCGAACTCACAAGTTGGGACATCTGCAAAGCGAGGCTACAGGATCTTTTCGAGAGACTAATCAGAGGTCAATTAGAAGACTGAATGGAGCTTCACCTCATGCCTAGACGTGCCCTGAATCATACATTTCATACATTCAGGACATTCTGGCACATTGCCGAAAAGCTAATGACAACATGCAGGAGGCAGATAAATTTGGACACATTATGATTGGCATCACCGACGATGCATGTAACTTCTTGCTCTGTAAGCGCTGCACAACAGTTCACTCCCTCATTAGAGTGCCACCTCTTTGAGCAAGCAAAAGACAAGCGCATCATGCAATGCTTCGACCTGTTTCTTAATATGGCTCTGACTTCGTCCTGTAACGAACCTGTGCCGTTGCATCAACCATACGTCGCAAGGAAGACTATTTCTCTATTTCCGAAATTTAGAAGTGCATTTAAAAGATGCCATTTACAAACCAAAGAGCACATTCAGGACAATGTAAAAAAAAACCTGCGTGCCATACCACAAAGTGCGCTCCAGGATGCTTTTCATAAATGCAAGAAATGATTAAAACAGTGTATTGATTGCGAATAGAGGAAACTGTATTGAAGGAACCGCTCTTAAAATGTGCAATAAGCACTATAGGTGTTAGGGCAATAGTTGTTTCCTTTTCAGAACACACCTTACATGCTTGTTTTGCGATGTTCCAACATTATTTAATGTCAGTGCAGTGTGGCTTGCATTAAACTTCGAGCAACCAATGAGCAGATTGAACTTGCCGATGTAAACAAATGTCCTGGTTATTTCTCTGCGCTGTCCCCTATACTCTTCCAGGAACATTGTGAAAATGTGTGAAGCAGCCTTATTGACATCTTTAAGAGAGCATGCTAGATGACTTTTTCAAGAGGTAACACCCTAAAAAAAGTAAAATAAGACAAGATGTTAAGGCTACCTTTGGTATTTATGGTGCAGAACAATGTGCTGCATTGGGTTATCTGCATTCTCAGAAACTGGCACACATTGTGGCAGGTAGAATGCGAGTGACAATTAAAAGCTGCTGAATAAATCAGTATCACCATGGTGACATGATGTCGTTGCGCAAAAGTTCTAAAGACAGGCTTCGGTGATCCAATACGATCCCCAATCAGCAAAGTCTGCGCTGGCAAGACCCATTCGTCCCACATGTCTGCCCTGCTGGTGTCCCTATCCTATCATTATGCAAAGAATTTCACTCCGCCATGTAATGATATCATCATTGTATTATTAGGATTGTTGAAAATTATTTTTGGGTTTAAAAGCATTTCCACCACCACATGCTTGACACAGTGTTGAAGGAGCAAAAGAATTACAATTACACCGACAATCGAAGTACATGGTGTTTCAGCTTCAGCAATGCGCCCCATAAACTTTTTACTATCCTACAACAAAACAACAGCTGTCACTTTTGAAACAGCAGCGATCATCCAGCAGGCACTTTATTCATCATAATCAGCATATGTTACGCCTGCTGTGGTACAAAGGCCTCAGCGAATGACCTCCAATTTATCTCATCTTGTGTGTACTGATTCCGTTTTATGCCTGCAAACTTCTTAATTTCATCGCTCCATCTAAGTTAGTGACGTCCCCAACTACATTCCCCATTCCATGCTATCCCCTGCATTGCTCTAGCTGACCACTGCTTGTCTGTTCTGCGCATCATGTGTCTGGCCAAGGTCTATTTCACTTCACTTCATGTCAACTAGAAGATCAGCTAACCCTGTTTCTTACCTTACATATTCTGCTGTCTTCTGATCTTGTAATGCTATGTTATCAGTTCCTGTTTCATTGCATGGTGAGTGGTGTTTCTTTGTTGTACTCCAAGCTTCAGCCCCATATGTTAAAAAAACAGCAGCTACGTATATGCTTGCACAAGTTGAATTGTGGCAAAATATGTAAAGAAATAAAACTCCTAATGCATCCAAGAGGTGCAAGTGCTCATAAAAGCTATCGCTATAAAAAGAAAGGTAATGTATCTTGTTAAACTCTCAACCATGCTAACCTGATGCTTTTATCTGCTTGTCCTTCCTGGAAGTCCTTAGCGATTGCTTCGGAATAGACAGCATCAAACAGGTCTCGCGCTGTGAACGGCCCTTGGGTCACCTCGGGTGCACGGTACGAGACGTATGGCCTCAACTGCACACAGTGTAATCGCATATGCGAAGCCACTCATGACACTCAGTGCTGCAGATACAAAAGCTGTAAAAAATAAAAATCATGCATCTAAAGTTCATAAAAGTAATTAAGCCTGGCACACAAGAAACAAAGAGATAGGCATACCGACAATGGGGAACTGACTAGCGAGTGTTTTACTTCAGAGGGAAAAAAATTATACACATAATTTGAGATCAAAACATGAAAATTATTATGCATCAGATGAACAAACAATTTTGTATAGGCCAAGAAATAATGTGTTGAATAGGCTCTCTCTCTCTCTTTTTTTTTTTTGACAATGAGGCCAATGGCAATAGCTTTAATGATTCTCTTGGCAAGTTTACCAGCACTGCCTCTAAATACATTTGCAAATGTACATATTTTTTTCTTCTACAACTATCCAGAATTGATTTGTTACTCTATATAAAAAGTTCGTGTGCTTGCATTTACAAGTTAAAGAATCTCAGATGGTCCAAAGTATGTCTGGAGCTAGACATGTCGCATAAATTCAACTGCTTTTGCATAAAATATCCGATAAATCAATCAATCCAGCAGGACTGTTGGGGTCAATGATACATCTCCATTTCCAAACAGCTTATGTGGATCCTGCGAATTCTTGTAGCCTTGATAAAAACTTGGAGTCCCTAAAATCAACCTGTAACTATTATTGAACAAATCTGATCCAATGAGTAAAAAAATAAGCACTAATTTTCTTTAGTTTATACTACACAACACCAGCAGACAATCAAGTCAGTCAGACCAGTGAAGAATTCCAGTAATATATGACAGGGAAGGACGCTCGCACCATAAATTTTATCGTGCTTACATTCACTTCTGTAGGCTTTCTTATGTAGTTGGTCCCTTTCTGAAATCATTGGTTATACAAACTGCTTAAGAGTTATACAAACTGCTATTATACAAGGCTATACAAACTTAGGTTATACAAACAAAAGGTTAAGGTTATACAAACTGCTGTAAGCATTGATGCGTTCATGTTTCTAACGTAGTGTACACCATGGAAAATTAATGACACTGTTTTCTTCCTCTCAATCACTCTTTTGCTGATGGTTATGTACGGTGGCCAATTTCTCTCAAGTTGTTTGTGCAGCCTTTGCATTGCCCTCTTATACTTGCGTAAGACTGTTTGTATTCAGTTACATTAATGATAGCCCAATGGTATTTAGGTGCTTCACATTTGCTATCTGAAATGGGAAATTAGAAATGGCTTGTTCATTCAAGAACTGTTACAAATATATTATCACTCATTTTGTGCAAACGCAGAAATCACACGCAGAGAAACACTGCAGTGGAAGTGGCACTCTCACCTTGCAGTCGGTGAGATCGGGCACGACTAGCTCGGGAATCATCTCGGGTATCGGAGGTCCACGGTACGACATAGATGGCTCACGTACACCGTACGCTGCACATGCATGCCATATTTAAATGTACACTAAACGACAAAACTGCATTTCAAGCCTTACACCACTAATTCTAAGCTCATAGATGTGCTCCCTTTTTCAGCATGCACAGTCTTCGGCAGGGGGTGCAAAAGGGGCGCTCACCCCTTTCAAGCCACGTCAGCCCTCGCACCCATTCCAGCTGCATCAGCATGCTCTCCCCCTCTCCCAAACATAATGCCATCCGGGTTTGCACTCCACTCCCAAAAGACGAAAACCTGACGACACTCATAACAGAATAGTAGTAGGCAGTCTACAGACAGCATAGAGCCAAAGGAATGGAACACGTCTGCATTATGGTTGTGTGACGTAACGCCACCTCATATCGACCCGAGAAAGCTAACAATAGATGGCTTGAACTGACTGCACTGAAACTACCATGTTGGTAAACCGCATGGTACATGCAAGTTTTGTGACAGCACATTCTAATGTTATCTTTATATCACTTGCAAGTTCTTTCATTATTGATAGGCAGAGGCCAGTAAACTTCTGGCTACATTGTTATCATATTGAAGCAGGTCAAGTGTGATGTGATAACACTGCCTCTACCTCATCAAAGCGGCCATGCTGGTGAACAGCGTACATTATAGAATTGGAACCATGGCATCATGTTCAAGCTATCTGTATACAATTAAACTGCTTTGCCTTAAACTCCTTCCATCCTGAAACCTGTAAGAGCTTAAACATTGCTCAAATAAAGCACGTGACAAACGCTGGTGAATTCTTTATTTGAGCTGCGTACGTACTTGGAGAGTACTTAGCCTTCTGTCTGACTGCCATCTTGTTGGGACAACAAGGTAGCTTGCGTCCTTGGTTTGTTCTCGATGCTGCCTGCCAAGGTGTCTATTTTGCAACTACATGAGAATTCGAATGGGACTGAAGATGGCCACTGTCCTCTTACTTGTCCACTTAGCAATCTACTGTGGGTATTAAAACACACCCCATGCCTAGCAATACCAGACCAGCAACACAAAATGAGTCACAAATTCAATTATAAAAAAATATCATAAGCTCTGAAAACATCACATTGAGAAAACAGTAAAGAGACGGTGCACGGGGGTGGCAGAGGTAAGTAGCACTTAGCTCCAGACATACCAATAGATCTGTAGCACCGTGCAGTACTACAACAGGTCATTGATCACATTATCGTGTAGCTCGAAAGCATGTCGTTTGCACGTGCAGATAACTGCTGTTTTACTCTGCAATACAATGATTAAGTAAGACAACTTGCGAATACTTTCTGTCCACATCGAAGCAGCAATAAGAACGCTTAAGACACATCTAATGCAAACAGACATTGCTAGGCAGTAAGAATCGTTGCGATAGCCTATTAATTGCTGGCAGCGGCTGAATAGTTATCAGTTCGTGTCGCACAATTTTGCGACACGAACGTTACTGCGTTTGTAGAACTAAAATGATGGCAGTAACTATACAACTGCATAAAAATTTTATATTTGCAGATTTAAAGTTTAAAAAAGACACTCCTTATGGTTTATAAGGCATACCTAGTGGGGTACCTCACACGATTAATTTAAGAGGTTTCTTAACAGTATCCTGTGCCAAACTACGTGGCTTTTCCGCATTTATCCGCCACTGAAATTCAGCTACCGTAAGAGGGAATCGAACCCGCGACGTCACGCTCAGCAGATCAACATCGCAGGCACTATGCTAGGAAGGCAAGTATGGAACGTCATCGTAGTTTTTCGTCTGCGATCGCGTGCAGTCTGTTTGAAAATCAACCCTGATCACTACGTAACAACGTGCATTGTTATGGTCCGAAGACGCAGCCGTGCAGTGAAGAAATCTTAGGCACTGAGCCCGCCTCACTAGCGGTTATTCGCGGCTCAGAGAAACAGCGTCCACTTTTTTCCACTAGATGAATTCACAATGCAGCGATGAGGCAACTCACTCTCAATTACACGATCCTTGCGCTTGCGATCGTGAAATGTCCCTCGAATGTTATGCACGGGGAACTTGCGAAAGTTTCGCTTCCCGAGGCATGGAGATGTCGTTGAAACTCGCCTGACCTGCGAACACGTAAGACTGACTGCTTGCTTCAACGAGGAATTCATCATCACAGGTGCAAACTGTGCCTTCCAGATCGCGGCACTCTTCAAAACAAAATGCGTCTTCCAGACACTAATTTAACCGGGTACTAGCAAGCAAGATTACAATGGTAGTTCACCGTTCGATTGTGCGTTGCTACGTAAAATACTACCGCAATGTTCAACGCAGTGTATTTCGCACCACTGTTTCTGTCAGTGTTTGCAACAGTATTAATTTATTCGGTCAAACTTTTAGTTATAAAAACGTTTTTGTAATTTTTTAAGGGTGCCTAAACAACTAATCTCGGTGTTGTTAATAAAAAATGGTCGTTATTGTATATCTGTATTAAAAATTAATTGATTGCAAAATTTTGCTGATGTTCTGTCGTAGACATAGTCGTAGCCCATTCCCCTTCGGTAGTTTTATTTTTCCCACAGAATATTTTCCCCTAGTTTTGCCTAGCCTGAGTGACGCCGTCAAAGGTAAATGGCTCGGTGACTTACGGCTGTGTTATCTATCGCAGCAACTCCAAACTGAAGCAACCAGACTATTGTTCGTTCAGTGTGAACACTAAATTGCGTATTTGTCACTTGCCCAGAGCGACTGCGTTTCGAAACAAACGCTCAGTTTCGCAATCGATCAAAACCAGCTTCCACCTATTTTTCTGTAGCTTCTGCCTTTTGGTCGCAATTGTGTCGGGCAGAATAGCTAATGCAGGTGTTTAAATACAGCAAGCACATAGAATAATATGCATTAAAAGGAACGATGACGACGACAAGTGGTGTAGCAGACGCCGCGCGAAACAAACCGGCACAAGAGCGTATCCTTTCCCTAGGTCTAGGGAAATTGAATTTGCCATTCGAGCTTTCGCTGCGCGGCTCGCGTACTATCGGCTCGGCTCGAACCGCTACGTTAGCATCTCGCCGAGGGATCTGTTCGCTGGGAAACCCTGCTGAACTGTAGCTACAGCCCCCGTGCTTTTTTTGTGTGTAGTGTGAGCCGCTTCGGGGGTGTGTGACGCGCAACATGTGCTGATGTCCACGACCGAGCTCTTGATGGCTCCTCAAGGAGGCGGCGGCGACCGGTCATCGGAGAGCAGCAGCAGCAGCGGCGGAAGCCAGGCTTCTCTCAAGCGCAGCTACAGCGAAGGAGCTCGGGAAATGTGAGTTTGCGATTGTTGGTTCGGGGTGAACGTTTTGACGGCGGTCCGTCGTAGTCTAGTGGCTGTGCCGCGCCGCCGACCGCGTCTGCGCGGGGTGAACGAGCCCTGGCGATAGCCGTTAGCAGCTGGGGCAGTGTACACCTGCGTGGCGCACGTGTGGTTGCTACAGTTTGACGAGGACGCCAAGGACGGACTGTGCGCGGCTGGACCGACCGGCCAGCTGACCGGTCGGCCACGCACGGCAAGTCCGGCCTTGGCTTAAAGTCATCTCCCACAGTCTTCTCACTAGCAGGATAGTTTCTTTGCGGCCCTCGGAGCAAGGCTGCTCGTGATGTCTGGGCGTGCGAAAGCACTCGAAATGCTATCGGATACTGCTGCGATAACAGCGAGTGCTCTTTCAGTAGCTTCGTTTTTCAGTTGTGGCTCTACGACTCCCACGAGAAGTGAGCCGGAAGATAATTGTGTGTGCCCGTGTGAGGAGGTCGGGCGATGAAACAAGCGTGTCGTAACAGCGCAACTTTCGGACTCGTACGTTGTGTACAAGCCCGATCAATGCATTTTTGTTCCTTGCGTGTTGTCCTGGCATTGAATACTAAAGTAGCTTCTGACCGCCAGCCATCTCTGTAACACCGTATATAAAAGAAGAAAAAAATGTTTAAGCGTGCCGTGTAGTGTAGCAATCACCTCGATGTACTCCCGTGTGTCGGTGAGAACGTCATAATGCTGAATTGTGGACGTAAAAACGAAAAGCATTCAAGGTTACGTTGCGGAGTTCGGCATTTCTAACAAGGTCTTCTGCCGGCGCCTCCTCAGATTCTCCCTGTGAATATTAAACATCACACTGAAGCACGCGTAGACGAAAGAATTTCGATGGAGTTCTGCGTTAGCTAGTTTACGAAAACCGCCGTCCCAGCTTCGTTTTAGTAATTCAGGTGTGCTAGCATTTGAGCCCGCAGCCATGCGAGTGAAGAAATAGCGAGACTTGCGTTTCCAGCGTCGCACGGCTGCGAAACTAGCTAGCATTCGTTGCGTTCCAGGTGTCGCGGACACTTCGGGCGAATCAAAAGATAAAGAAAGCGGACTAGCGATCCTTGTGTGAGCTCCAGTGAGAAGACAAAGGACTACGATAAAGCTTGACTAAAGATTGCGCGCGCGTGAAATGAAACACACGAACAGGGTCATTGTGTTTACCTGAACGAAGGAATCGGGTGAAGCATGGAAATTGTGCAAAAAAATAGATAAATAAACCAAATATTAAAGAAATTCTATCTAAAACCTAAACTGCCCATTTTCGCTTGTGCGTTTGTGAAAGTGATAGTCGGCAGACCTGCTTTGCCGAGCGTACCCTGTTCTTACATGTGTCGAGCCGTCACGTGGTTTTGGCCTTTTTGTTTTGTGCATTCTCTCCGCGCGAAACCACTCTGCGCGAACAACAACAACAAAAAAATCCCTAGAAAGATGCGTGCAGTACGCTGCTCAGTTTTCATTCTGAGCATATCATATTGCAGCTTGTTCTATCGTAGGGCGACACGTGCCTACTGCCGGTCTGGGCTGCTTCTGGACCGTGACGAATAACCTCGCTCTAAGCTTAGGCTTCTAGCTGAAACGTAACTGGTTACGGCAAACCGTTTCTTTCTCTACAAAGCTCTTCCGGGTTTGTGAAAAAGACATGCCCTTTATTAACCCCTTCTTTATGTTTCTTACGAACGTCAATATTCGTGAGAAATGACCCAACATTGACTGCTGAGTATTTACAACTTGTAAACCACGTGGAATTCGACGTTGGTGTGGAGTTCACCTGCCCTCCCTTCCAGCTCTCCCCCGTAAATAAACAGAAAGCAATAATAAAATAGCGCACCGGTGGTCTAGTGACTAAGGTACCCGGCTGCTGACCCGCAAGTCGCGGGATCTAATCCCCGCTGGGGCGGCTGCAATCTCGGTGGAGGCGGAAATGCTGTAGGCTCGCGTGCTCAGATTTAGGTGCACATTAAAGAATCCCAGGTGGTTCAAAGCTCCGGAGCCCTCACTACGGTGTCTCTCATAATCATATGGTAGTTTCGGGACGTTACGCCCCACATATCAATCAATCAAATCAATGAAAAATATAGGATCACTTTACATGCCTGTCATGCCAGCGGCACGGCTTACATTGACCCTACTAAGTCAATGTATGGGGCTGATTTTGCGCCGACTGCTCCCCCCCCCCCTCCAATGCCGCCCTCGTGCGCACGGCTACGCATGTACGTAATTTTGGCGCACCTTCCCTGCGATGCAGCGCATAACATATAAACTGAAACATGGTCTTACAGCCACGCGTGTTTTATTTGGACGCATTCGGATGTCACCAGGAAGTACTGATAGCAACGTTCGGCGCATTTCAGCAGCCTCGTTCTGTTAAGATTGCGCGCTGGACGCAGTTTATTGCAGAGCTCACGCGAGTACCAGAGATAGCGCTGGATGGTTCAATGACTGGTGTATAAAAGACACGTTCCACCGATGAACAGATCACCGACCGCCGACGCTTTGCTCACTGTTATCGGAGCATACAGCTTTAAATTGCTTGTACTATTTTCATTTCCCGAGCACCTTTTCATCCAAAATGAAGAGTTTGATATGTGGGGGTTTAACGTCCCAAAACCACCATATGATTATGAGAGACGCCGTAGTGGAGGGCTCCGGAAATTTCGACCACCTGTGGTTCTTTAACGTGCGCCCAAATCTGAGCACACGGGCCTACAACATTTCCGCCTCCATCGGAAATGCAGCCGCCGCAGCAGGGATTTGATCCCGCGACCTGCGGGTCGGAAGCCGAGTACCTTAGCCACTAGACCACCGCGGTGGGGCTTCAAATGAAGAGTTGCCTATTTCCCAGTCTTGCTGCAAAACCGTCACATCCACGTGACAATATCTAGTGGATGATGACAATAATGTAAATACGAATGCCGCATCGACTGATGAATGCACGTGTGATATGCGTGTGCTCGTCGGGCCACCTGGTTTGCTTAACGCATTCTTACGTTTACCGGGATGCCAAAAGCGTATGTTGTATTTGTGGATACTGTTTGAAAGCTGGAAGGGGAAGATTGAAGCTCGCGATAAAAAGAAAAAAAAATGTAAGCACGGCTTGTGTTGCTCGAGCCGAGGTTTCGACGAGTGCACTTGTCTTCGTGCACTTGTCGATAAGTTGGCTCGAGCAACGCAAACCCTGTTTACGTATTGTGTTCATTACTGGACACTACTTGTTAGCATTTATCGCCACTTAAGCTAAAGAAGCAACAACAACAAAAAAATATTCCACCTCTTCGGATAGCGAGACACCGAGTCATTTAGGTCAGTAACCGCATTTTAGATTTCTCGCACGTTTTCTGTCCCTGTCGACGACAGCAGTATGGGTGCGGAGGATCGTAATTTATTCTCCTTCACTGCGACATATCCTTGTTCGTCGTGTTAACTGACCACTGGTCTAACAGGTTCGCGAAGCGTCTTTATAGCATAATCAACTGTGGTGAAGACGACGGGGAGACGTGAACTTGTGTGTCGTTATGGCCTTTCCGATAACTGTTACTCATGTACCAGTTTAACTTGTCCGTTAGCTTTATCCGAAAATCTGTTTCAGGCGACGGAAAGCGCTTCAAGCTGAGAGCCGCACATGAGTATATACTTGACGACCGAGCGACATGGCTAGAACTTGGGAGTAATAATAGAATCACGCTAACAAACTATTAGCGCCATGTATAATGCGTGGTGCACGTGTGATGCTGAATATAGCGAAATGAAATCAGTTTTGCTTGGTGTGGTATTGCTTCGAAACTAATTCATTATTCACTCAGAATATTAGGGTTATACTTTGGATATTAGGAATGAATGCCTATTCTTTTGTTATCTTGAACATTGCAGCCAAAATTAGATGCCATTTCGTCATTCTGGTTTCGCGGATTTTCACATTTTTTTCTCATTTGTTTACTCTGTGGTCTCGTTATTTCTCGCTAGCTCTGCTTAGACGTTCGATCCGTGCTTGTTATTATTA